TTTTCCCGCATTGATCACATGTGTACAGTTTCTCTCTAGTGTGGATCCTCATGTGATCTTTGAGGGTTGCTGATTGTGTGAAACTCTTCCCGCATTGATCACAAGGGAATGGTTTCTCTCCAGTATGAACACTCATATGCCTTATAAGGTTTTCTTTTCGTGTGAAACTCTTCCCGCATTGATCACATGTGTACGGTTTCTCTCCAGTGTGGATCCTCTCATGTGTTTTCAGATGTCCTGAATGACTGAATCTCTTGTCACAGTGTGAACACTTGTAAGGTTTCTCTCCAGTGTGGATGTTCATGTGTAATTTAAGAGTTGATAATTGTGTGAAGCTCTTCCCGCACTGATTACAAGTGAATGGTTTCTCTCCAGTATGAACTCTCATGTGAAGCACAAGATGATGTTTGAATGAGAAACTCTTTCCACACTGAGTGCAGGTGAAATATTTCTTGGCTCTTCTTTTCTTTAAATCTTTCTGTTTGGTTTGAGAGCAACTCAAAGGTTTTTCTTCAGTTTTAACATGATTTTTCTCCTCAACTTCACTCAATTCTTCATTCTCTTCATTTTCTCCATTTAACTCTGAAATAAAAGTAAAAATGGTTTATTTTCAGTTAGTCATAAAAACAGAGAAATGTGAAAGTAGATAAAAATGAACTCTGATGTAAACATATATATCCTTTTGCTGCAGTTTTATAAATGATGTCTCTCTGAAATTTTAACTATTTGTAAGTATTATAGACACAAATCCCATGTTTCTACAGGGAGAACTATTAAATATGTTTGATCAACAACAAAATTATCTAACATACATAAATTTTAGGGCTGCAACAACTAATCGATAAAATTGATTATCATCGATAATGAAAATCATCGACAACGATTCTCATTATCGATTAGTCGGGTCTGCCCACAGTGTATGTCCAACTTCATCCTCAAATTACATCACTGAATTAGCATGTCTATGGACAAAATGCATCTAAAATAGTAGAGGAAACAGAATGAGATACTGCGGGAGAGTTACGTGATCCAAGCTGCTCAAAATATGAGAATTCTTTATTTTAAGCTAATGCATTAGCGTGATGGCTTGTCCTGTCAGGTGGTTTTACAGATGCGCGTGCGTCCTCAGCGCAAAAACTTTCAGTTTATGGTCATATCCTTATGTATAAATGTCACAAATTCACGCGAGCATTTTTGCATAAAGGCCCGCCCTGACAGTCTGTGTTCAGTTTAAATCTTTACTGAATGAGTGCCGGCGCGGCGGACAGACTGAACACGGACAGAGGGAGACAATTAATACTCAGCGCAAAAACATTTGTTGTGCTGAAATATCTGTTGTTGAACATTAAATTAAGGTTTAAGTCAAAATGCAGTGCACATATTTTATGAGTAGGAACTGTAAAGGGATAACAGCATGTAATTGTCCTGAATATAAATATCAGACGCTTCATAACCGCCTTTTACAGGATAAAGAAATGACAGTAAGACGTGATTGTGGTCAAAGTGAACGTGTTCCTGCAGAACATTACTCTTACCTATTGGTTAACACTGAGCTTGTGATTTTATTCGTCTTTATCATCTTTATTATTTTCATTTTTAATGCAGAGTTTTAAACTATACTGAACAAAAATATAAACGCAACACTTTTGTTTTTGCCCCCATTTTTCATGAGCCTAGGTCGTGTCCGAATCCACTTTTGCTAGTTTCACGATGGGAAAAATGGTCGGCGTGCCTGGCGTATGGTCTAAAAGTGTTGTCCCTATTCTCTTAATGAGTCATGGGTGTGTTTTGGCATAACGTGCAATAAACCAATCAGAGTCTCATCTCCCATTCCCTTTAAGAGCCGCTATTTGGCATGTTTGTGTGCTGCTGCACGTCCCTGTGTGTGTAATAATGTGAGTGTACGTGCATTGTGGACCCGCCTATAAGTGCATATTACTAACGCATTCTAAAAAAAACAACAAAAATACTGTGCCATTGACTTTAGACCAGGTTTTAGTTGGTCAATGGTGCAGTCTATTTCAGTTGCCTCAAAATAGCAACGTGCCAACAATGCACCTGAACACACCTCTTTATCAGGTTTGTGTGCTGCTGCACGTCCCTGTGTGTGTAATAATGTGAGTGTACGTGCATTGTGGACCCGCCTATAAGTGCATATTACTAACGCATTCTAAAAAAAACAACAAAAATACTGTGCCATTGACTTTAGACCAGGTTTTAGTTGGTCAATGGCGCAGTCTATTTCAGTTGCCTCAAAATAGCAACGTGCCAACAATGCACCTGAACACACCTCTTTTTCAGACCAGCACACCCATGGGCGCAAAAATGGGTGCAAAAGCATTTGCTATTTAAACAACGTGGCACAGGACGTGAAAATTATTACTGCGTCGGGTTGAAACTAGCAAAAAACACTTGCATCGCTCCGGGTGTATGATAGGGCCCCATGTCTCTCCCTCTCTCGATCTCTAAAACAGCTGCTTTATGTATTGCAGAGCTATAACATCATAAATAATAATTTGCATGTTGCAAAACTGACGACAACTGCTGAGTGGAAGAATTTATGCAAGAATTCATTACAAAGAGATTTCTAGGCATTCCTTTTCTGAGGCTGCAATATGTGCAAAATTCAGCTGCTCGTGTTTAACTTACACACCATCCCGCAGTCATATCACTCCTGTGCTTTCTCAACTGCACTAGCTTCCAGTTCAATCACGTATTGATTTTAAAGTTCTTATCTTAAAGGGGTGGGTGACTGTTTTTTTTTATAGGCTTGATTGTGTTTATGGGGTGCAGTCTAACATGTGTTAATGCTTCGTTTGTTAAAAAACGCATTATTGAAGAGGATAGCGCAGAACCTGTACAAGCACGGCTTTTAATGGTTGGCCTTAGGGCTGTCAAAAAAAAAAAGAATTTCGAATATTTGTCGAATTTTAAATAAAATTCCACATTCGAATGCAAAAACGTTGAATTCAAATTTTAGGTGTGCGTTAAGGAGGCAGCCTTATCAGTGGCACACGAGATGCGATAGACTTTATGGCAGGGTTTTTCCCCCATCCCACTGCAACTCGTGTTTTTAAATGAAAAATGTACTCTGTGTGCTTTCTGACTTTTGAATTAAACTATGCATACATACATGATGCTGTTTTGTTTATGGTTGATTAAGCAAATTAATTATAATTGGTTTATAAACATTATTTTAAACAGTATGCACTTTTTTCACAGATAGTCTGTTTTCTTATGTTTTGAGTACGTGCATTAGTAATATTTTGCTCGATGCGCCCTCTTGTGGCCTCAGGAGAGAAGCCAAAAGCTTTTCTTCACCCTAACTGAAATTATGCATTTTAAATTCGAATATAATTCGAATTTTGATCATATTTAAGTAAAAAATTCGAATTTAGTTTTTCAGCCATTTTGACAGCCCTAGTAGGCCTAATATTTTTGTTTGTTGTTGTCTCATACTTTTAGATAGGCCTACGCTGTTATTTGTAAATGCTACTGCTTCTGTTAGCTTTTAATATATGGTTTTATTCTGATTAAAGCTTTAATACAGTTCGGCAACCGCACGCGCGTCCATGTATAACTCTTCTCATAGCTATAGTATGTGAAAATAAGTGTATTCACTGAGCTGATGATCTGAATGAGAGAGAGAGAGAGAGAGAGATGCAGAGCAGGGGAACACGAGGAACAGTATTAAGAACCGCTTCTCATAACTATAGTATGTGAAAATAAGTGTATTCACTGAGCTGATGATCTGAATGAGAGAGAGAGAGAGAGAGAGAGAGAGATGTAGAGCGTGTGCAGAGCAGGGTGAGGAACAGGATGAGAACCGCTGCTTTAGAACATTGATTTTGAAACTTGTGAATCCATTAGAATCGTTAGAAGACAGAATCACAAAAAGACTTCCTCTTCTCTAGAGCAGCGCAGCATGGACTCGCCCCCTTTGCTGCGTGTTCCCGGAAGTGGGGTTTATGTAAAATTCTGGGTTCTGGACGTAACGGACCCGGGAAGTAACTCGTTGTAGTCCCTTACCAGTCGTTTTTGTAGGCATTAAACTGCCAGAATTTTAAAAGACGATATCTCCGTTTGCATTGAACTTTCAGCTTCGTAACTTTGCAGATATTGTTTATGATCAAACAGCAACATTACACACTAACTAACATTAAAAAAGTGAAATCGCAATCAACCACCCCTTTAACCTATAAAGCAGTACATGGGCTGGCCCCAGAGTATATTTGTAATTTGGTCACAGCTCCACACCATCTCAGTCTCTCCGCTCTGCTGGTTCTCTACTCCGTACCAGCCTCGTTGTAAACTGAAAACTATGGGTGGGAGGTCATTCTTTTGTATTGCTTCCAGGCTGTGGATTTCTCTGCCTTTTCCTATTAGGAATGCTCTGTCTTTTGATTGATTTTAGAAATGACTCAAAACATATCTCTTTAGTGAAGCTTTTAAGTTATAATCTTACAGTTGTTGTTGCCATTGTTGTTATTGTGATTGTTATTATGGAGTAATGATGTTTCTTTTATTGTTGTTTTATACTGTTGCAGCGCCTTGAGTGTAAGAAAGGTGCATTACAAATAAAAATTATTATTATTATTATTTTATTCGACACCTGATGTGTGCAGTTTACTTTGCTTGCATTAAAAAAAGTTATCCTCTTCAGTATAATTTTTTGTATGTTTGTTTTTTGATTGTAGTCTTTTTTCCACTGCTATTGTTTTCTTTGGATTTGCTTCTCAGTTCCATTCAATTTTAAGGTTTTCTTTGTTAATTCCATGTTTCCTGTCATGCTAATTCAGATTAGCACAGTTGGTTTTAAATGAACCTAGTTATTTTAGTCCAGGACTCCATAGTACAGGAATTAGTAATCTGTACTTAATCTGTGCGGTGCACACCGGTTTGAGCTTGAACTTGCCCCTGATGTGTGCAGTTTACTTTGCTTGCTTTAAAAAAGTTATCCTCTTCAGTAACATTTTTTGTATGTTTGTTTTTTGATTGTAGTCTTTTTTCCACTGCTATTGTTTTCTTTGGATTTGCTTCTCAGTTCCATTCAATGTTAAGCTTTTGTTATATAGGCAACCTCTGTCATGCTAATTCAGATTAGCACAGTTGGTTTTAAATGAACCTAGTTTATTTTAGTCCAGGACTCCATAGTACAGGAGTTAGTAATCTGTACTTAATCTGTGTTTCAGAAAGTCCTTTTTAAAACCTTAATTAACTATCCTAGATTAAGCCTACTTCTGGCTTAATTTAAACCCCGTCTGGGAAACTGCCCCAGAATTTACCTCAGAAGAATGCAATGAAGTCAGACCCCCAAGGTAGGGCTGTCGCGATAACCGCAATATTGTAATACCGCGCTATTGACGAGCCAACCGCAGAGGAAGGAAAGCAACAGCAGAAACCGCGGCAACCGCAGTGTTCACGTTTTTTTTTTATTTTCATGAGGCTGTGGCCGCCTTGTTTCACAATGAATCACTGTGCATTGAATATTAAATAAATGAATAATGATACAAGAGTGTTACGAGTGTAATTTTCCCGCGAACTGTTTGTATCCGGGGTTTCGTTTACGGACCTGCTGTCTGGCGAGAGCTACGTTACAGTGTCTTCAGTCAAACCCACCCTGAAACTCCTGAGAGAAGATATGCTTAAACCATTAAATGAGGATACCACATTAACATCGGACATAAAGCACAAAATGTGCAGTGTTCTACAGGGGAAGTATGAACCAGCTGCCTTACAAAAACTTTTGGAAAAGGCCTGTTTTTTAGATCCTCGATATAGGGGCGATTATATCAATGACACGGAGACAAAATCCAACATCATCGAAGAGATGGTGAGAGTGGAGGACGAAGGGAGCGCTGCCAGCGCGTCAGTGGTTGGAGACGAAGGGCAAGCGGTGGTGCCACCTGCAGCAAAGAAAAAGACTCTTGGAGACCTGCTGAAGTCACGGACCACCTCTGCATCAGCGCCCATACCCAAGAGAGCGCGAGCAAATAACGAGCTCACGCGCTACCTGCAGGAGGAGTGCATAGACTCCAATGCGAATCCACTGTCCTGGCTGGTGGCGCGATAATCAGTCTAGAGTTCCGCTGCTGTCCAAAGTCGCGCGCAAATACATGTGTATTTGTGCAACGAGCACACCGTCGGAAAGGGTTTTCAGTGCCGCC